CCCCCTCCTCGGTGCCCTCCTCCCGCGTACAAGTTAAAAGCCGGCGGCAGCTGGTGCAGCACATCGTGTATAGCACACATTCACACACACACACACACACACACACGCACACACACACACACACCGCTTTAAGCACTATTTTGGGAGGAGAACAAAACGCGCCGCGTGGTAAGCACGCCGTTGCAGACGGACACATGGGCCGCTGCACCTGCTGCCTGCATTTGTGTGTGTATATAATCACTCGGGTTGCAGCGCAGCGCAGCACCTTTCGGTTTACATCGCAGCACCTTTCGGTTTACATCGCAGCACCTTTTGGTTTACATCGCAGCACCTTTCGGTTTACATCGCAGCCCCATTTTATTTGGCGGTGGGTAGTAGTGGGCAATTTTTAAACAGTCCCCTAAAGACTGTCTCTACCAGAGGGCAAAGTCCCCCCTCCTCATACACTCTCTATATTTCAAGGAGGCACGGCTCGGTCAGGGATCCTAACGCGACCCTGCACGGAGAAAAATACTTTGGATGCCGTAACTAAAATGGTGTCCAATCTGCCCCCTGAGTCATTACCATAGAACGTTCTATCGTGCTGGCTCGAGCGTTTGGATGGAGCGCCTGAACGCCCAGCCAGCACGATAGAACGTTCTATGGTTATGACTCAGGGGGCAGATTGAACACCATTTTAGTGACAGCAACCAAATTTGGTGACCAGACATTTTTCTCAGTGTGCCTGCGCAGCAGCGCAGGGCTCGGTAAAGAGCGGGTCATTCCTCCGCAGCTTCTGAAGGTGAGTGCCTCGCTCGGTGGCGAGAGATGCACTGATGCACACGGAGCTACAGATAGGGACAGTGAAGTAGAGTAAAAGAGAGAGAGAGAGAGGAATGGGTGTGCATTCTCCTTGCACTAGTCCGGGTCTCGCGCCGGACAGGACGCCTTGCGGTGGGCAGGACAGATCTGCTGCGCTCATTACAGAGGCGCCTGTCCGCCGCCGCGACTGTCCCACCAGCAGGCGGCCGCCGTGCTGTCCGGCAGATGAGACTGCCGCAGAGTGTGCCGCCGTGCTGCGGTGACGAAACAAGAGAGTCGATTGATTCGTCTGGTAGCCTTCTTTACGGCTGCAGGCAGGAGCAGCAGCTATCGCTCTCTGACAGCGACGGCACATTCGTCATCGGCGTACTCCCCTCGTGGTGGAGGACGCCGTCAGGACGCCGTCAAGGCGAGGGCGACGGGAGGCAGGGGCACGCGCCCAACAGGGCGGACGACATCGTCGTCGTCGCACACGTCGTGGAAGCGAGATCCCCGACCAAATCTAGCATCGCTCACGGAGATTCACTCTTTTCCTCGCACATCCCCGATCATTGAACACCCTTTTCTTTATCGTCACTGTAAGCTCAGGTGGGGGAAAATGTTATGGTCCCAGCGCCACAGTCACAGCACAGGGCGGGGCGCGCGGGGAGGGTCGGGGCGGGCTCGCCTCGCCCGCCGCCGTCAGCCGCGCACCTCCGGCAGGCGCTACAATGACGCGGCCCAGACGCACAACCACTCCATTCGGCGTATCATACGGCGTTTTCTTGTGTGCGCGTCCCCCGCCCGCCCCCGCGCCGCCGCGGCACATCACCGCGGCGAGCCTCCGCGCGCGTTTTTCGTTCCCATTCCGGGTTCCTCCCCCTGCCCCTCCTGCCGGGCTGGGGTGCCGAGAGGAGCACTCGTCCTTGGTAGTGAACGAGGCACGGACACAAAGGGAGCGCACCGCGCCGTGTCCTGGTCCTGCTAGTGTCGTCATCTGAGCGCGTGTGTGGCCCCCCCCCCCCCTCTCTGTGTGTGGCGGTGCATCTTCCGTTTTCCATACTGCTGAATCTGCGCGCGGCCGCGAAAAAAATATATAAAAAAATGGAAGGAGAGGGGGGAAAAAGAATGAAAGATGATGAGGGGAAGAAGGCTCTTAAAATTGCCCAAGAAACACACACACATGATACAAATTTTTTGTCAGGATGGTGGTACTGCGGGATAATGCCATCATTTTTGAAAATTTCGCCATACCACAGCTTGGAGCCGCTTGGAAGCGCAGACGAATTCTCACGTGTATACAAATTTTTCGTGTTCCGCGCAGAGAGAGGTTTTCGTAAAAAAAACAAACACAAAAAACACAAAAAAAACAAAAACTGTGTCGAATAAAGCGTCTGAATCGGACATTCGGTGGCGATCTCTGGAAATAATGGCTCCTTTGATTCAAGGAAATTTCACTCTAAAAATTTACATTATCTTTTAATTACGGCCAATGTTGATGTCATTTCAGCATGGTGGCCCATTAATTTTTCAATAGAATTTCTTAGAAACCATAATTATTTTTGAGTGGGCGATGCGTCGTTGCCGGACGGAGACAGAACACCGGGTCGTCACGCGGCAGGCCGTCGTACCGGCGCGGCTGACGCGTCGCGCGCGGCGTCCTCCCGGGGCACCGGCCGTTCCTCATACTCTGGAACTGCGTCGCATTTGCATATTTGTGGCTCGCTACATAGATTGTTCGCGTTATTGAATCACAGCATGACCGGCATGTCCGGTAGGCACCGCGACGACTCCTTACTTTCTGCTTGGCTGCGGAGGATCCGCCGAGGGGTACTTTACTATAAATTTAAGCGCACACCGATTATTTTCTTTTTCTTGGTTTTTCCAGTTTTGTTGACTTTTTCATCTTGATTTGTTTTGATTTTATGGAGGATTTTTACAAAAAAAATTCTCTGTAATTTTCTTGATTTTTCTTGATTTTTCTGATTCTTTGAAATGTGTACACTGATTGTTTGAAGTGTATTACCCCCCGGGGTCAGCGGAGCGCGACACTACTGACCTGCTGGACCCCAACCAGTGTGAGATGATGATTACGGACAGCAGGCCGCGGAGCAGCAGGACATCGCGATTTGCATTCTAGTTTTTTTTTATTAATATTTTTGTAAGGATGTTAAACCGCTCGCGAACAAATACATCCACACGAGCCTTGCCATCTTCTGCTTGGCAACCGGACAACGGGGCCAGTAAAGATCCATTTACCTAGTAGTGTCATGCTCGGTTTTTACTCTAAAGGAGAAAAAGAGGGAGAGGGGTCAATTTGAAACGCAACAATTATTTATTTCGCCAGTTTTACTCAGATGCAGATTTAATTGCGTCCCGCTGCTGTTCCCTCCGCGGCGGCGGCGGCCCTCGCAAAAATCGCCGTCGCATCTATTCAAAGGCCCAAGGTACCCGAGGCACCCGCCGCCACCAACGCCGCTTCACCACTCCCCCTCCCCCTCCCCCCCCCCTCGCTCGCCGCGGCTCTCGCGCATCGGAGTGACCGTGGCCGGCCGGCCGGCCGCCGTGCATCCCCTATTGCCCCCCTCCCCCGCCGGCCCCGCCGCGCTGCGAGCCGACGGTAGCGAGAACTACTATAAAACGGACGGGCGCAGTGCTGGACACTATCAGTTCTTCGAGACCGGGAAAACATGAAGGTACGTGTGGGTGGGTGTGGGTGGCTGGGGCTGTGCCATGGAAGGGGATCGCAAGTGCAGGCCGCACCCGAAGACCGCTCGGGACTATCAACAAAAAGATTGACTTAAATTCAGCCGAATCAATTTATGTAAAGACTTTTCCTAAAAGTAGAGAAAGAGTCACTGTTGTTGCAAGAAAATAAGTAATATTAATTTTGTACCTTCCAATTGTTAGAACAGCAGCGAATTTACTACCGTTTAACGCGTACAGAGTGGCGTGACCCACAATGTGGTCACGCTCACCATTAAGTTAAATCATAGACACCAGAATCAACTCGATGTGTTCAGTTACTGCATTTCTTGGGGTGTCCTGTTCGTTGTACTGCGGGGTGCAGTGTTGTGCCCGCGGTGCCGCTCGAACATTTGAATCGCGCGCGCTCTGGTCATTACCGCCGGGCGGCGCAGTAATCAACTTCATGAGGGGGACGGCACGCGCCCTGTTCGAACCACGTGACTTGCAAGGGTGGGATCCAAATGTTACGCTGTCAGAAAGACTATACTTGTAAGGGTTTCGTAGAAAGATCCCATGACGTGTGTTTTAAAACTTCAATTTAAAATTGTAGAATTAGAAGCACTCTGGATTATCTTGCGGGAATTCATTGACTAGCAAGATTGGCCTGTCGTAAATTTACAACATATTTTGTAAATTGAAAACACAAAATTTGTTTCTGAATTTGCCAACATATTTTTCACGCTCCTCACAGTGTATGGGGTTCCAAAAGGATAAGGACGCGGTCATTAGAGGCGGTAGGATGAGCCCCATGATATTTATACCCCCTCCCGCTCGGGTACAAATATCATGGGATCCCTATGAACTCCAATAACCATCCGGATACTTTTTGGACCCCCGAACATTTCGTGCCCCTTCCCTTAAAATCGTGTGGTTTGCCCACCCACAGAGCTCCATTGTGCTCTGTCGGTTGCGCCTCTGTAGCGGTCATCTTTTATTTAGCGCGCTTTGAGCCGCCATCTCTGAACCCCGCCAACCCACACAGCGCGCGGGTGGAAAGAAAACAGCGATGTTTTCATTCGTTGCCGTCGCGTCGCCATTTCTTTTTCCACCAGACAGCGTCAGCCAGACAGGCCACTCTGCTTAACCGTCCTCGCCTCTTGCTTCCAGGTGTTCCTGGCCGTGGTGGTGCTCGGCGTGGTGCTGCACGAGGTGCTGGGAGGTGAGTGCAGCCAGCGGCCGTTAAAGGAAAGAAAAGAAACAGAGAGGGGAAAAGGGGCAGGAAAAACTCGACACCGTTTGGTCGCGATGAAAGGGGCTCCCCTGAGGAAGGAGATGGGGGGGGGGGGGGGGGGGGGGGGAGGTCCGCGAGTCACATCGTGATGCTGTCGACGGCCCGGAGTTAGCGCACTCTAGCGCGGCCTGGGAAAGTTTGGATGCGGGGGGAAGGGAGGGGGGAGGGGAGGGGAAGGGCGAAGGCAGCAAGGGAAGTCCTTGTAGCGATGCGCGTTACCGCCCGATGATCCCTCTTTGTCCCGGCGGGCGTGCAGTCCCGGTGAGAACTCTCTCACATCGAGCACCATTCGCACGTCGTCGGCACCCCCCCCCCCGACACCCCCATCTCGCGCCAAAGAGTTATGTCCAACGTCACCGTATCCTTCCATTTTATTTCGAGAACAGCAATTAGAGTTTTTTTTCTTACTGTCGGCGTTAAAACGAAGGCACCCCGTCTTACCTTGCTCGAGCACTAAAGGATATACTCCTTCACTGACACGCTTTTTAGTTGCTGATATGTAGGTGAGACGTTCAGGTTCAAGGTCCAGAGGGGACGCCGCCTCGAGAACGTCCTGTCACACAGGGGGGAAAGGGGGGGGGGCAGCGGCGCGCGTGCCGCCGGCGGCGACCTGGAGCGGGAGGGAAGCCGGCCGCTCTGGAGAACACAATGCTTAATGCCTGCAATGTTTGGTTTGTCCGCTGCTGCTGGCGCAACATCCCATCTTTAGGCGACCGAAGCGGAGCCGGTCTCTGGTCCAAAGTGGGCGGATGTCGTCGGCATGCTGCCGGCGACGGGGCCGGCCTGGCCATTGTCACGCGTGTGCAGCTTCTTGTCCTCCGTGCTAGGGCAGAGAATTTGGCCGCTGTGGCTTTACAAAGCCAATTTTATAGATGAAAAATAAATTTAAAACTATTCATTAACATTTTAATTTAAAAAAATTTGCGAGCCAAAAATGTTGGTCCAAATCTCAATTCGAAATTTTTTGTGATGCAATTAATTAATGTCGTCATTGAGGAAGGAGATGAGGCTTTTCCTTCTGGTAGAGTCAGTCTTGGGGACTGTCCAAAAAAGTTTAGTGGTCTGCGCTGCGAAGGTCCCGGTCGAGGTACGGCAGCCTCCGAAAAGGTCGGAAAGGACTCTAATGACAGCCGGGAGGGATTCGTGCCACGGCCGGCCTAGCTTCTCTCTCCCCCTCCCCCATCCCCCCCTCCGTCCTCCTCTCCCTCGTCGCGGACGCCGTTTTATAAATAATCGTCGAGCAGAGCAGGCGGCGCTGCTGGAGAGGCGCGGTAGGCGCGGATAGAACCGCCCCGCCTCGCCCCGCCTC